GTGTGTTTCATTCCATCTGCCTGTCCTGCTCCCCACTCTGTCTCTGGTGAATCCTCTCACCCTCCCCCCCACCTCTGGCCTGTACCTTAGTTCTTCTATGCATAAATAAATAGATTTTTTAAAAGACTAAATATACTGAATAAGTTTAAACCTAATACATTAAAAACATTATAATTTAGAATGCCTCTTCTAAATAAAACAAACTGGTGATAAGCACCAAATGAAGAGAATAGCATCTACACCTTCCAAGCCAGCAACAGAAAAAAGAAAATGTGTGATGGGGCAATTAAGAAAGCATCAGTCCAGCACGCAAGAGGACAGGAAAGGGGAAAGGATAGTGAACAGCAAACATAGATGGCCTCTCACCCCACCTCCCACACTCTGGCCTGCACCCCAGTTTTTCCAATCAATAAATAAATTGGATTTGTTGTCACAGTTGTTAATTCAGCTGATAAGAAGACATGCACTTAGAATAAAACCAAAGAGGAAGGTGGAAGTGTGGCAAGGTGGATGGAGCTTGAAAGGAGAATGCAAAGTGAAGTACATCAGGAGAAAGGTTAGTTTTACAGGGTGGTGTCACTAATAAAGTAACTAATTTTTTTAAAGATTTATTTACTTATGCTTACAGACTGGGGTACAGGCCAGAGGTGCAGGGGTGGTGAGAGGATTCCCCAGAGGCAGAGTGGGGAGCAGAACAGGCCAACTGATGAAATACACTGCTGACGGGAGCAGTAGTGGGGTCAGGAGAGGTCTGCCACACCATGTGGGTCACCTCAGGGTGGGGATTGAACTCATGCTGAAGTGGCTTTTTAGCTTTAACCTGCACCACCAGGGAGGGCCAATTTTTTAGATTTTTGCTTAGAAGAACTGGGATGTAGGCCAGAGGTGCAGGGGTGTGTGTGTGGATTCACCAGAGACAGAACAGGCAGATCTGCTGAAACACACTGCTGAGGGGGGCAGCAGGCAAAACAGGAGAGGCCTTCTGTGCCATATGTGAGTCAGCCCCCTGGCCAGGGATCACACTCAGGCTAAAGTGGCTATAGAGCTGAGACTTAACCCCTAGACCACCAGGGAGGCCCTGAAATGTGTCTCTGTCTGGGGTTCTTTTTGAACATGTGTTTGCGGGTGACATTGGGCTTAATGAGCCATTTTATTGGCAGAAGGTAAAGGCTATTAGGAACAGAAGAGAGAGGGAATCACTGAGAGAAGAGCTAGGAGGAGGCAGGAGGCCAGGGGTGTCAGACCCCAGGGGAGGACTGAAATGGGGGAGAAGTCACCTCTACCTCTTTGAATTGAGGCCAAAAAACTGTAACTACAGCTGTTGAGGCCAAGCCTGGAGGCTGCTATGCTGTGGTGGTGTCAGCTGGAGCCACCACAATAAATCACCATGGAAAGGGTGTCTTAGTCAAATAATATTTATTCCTCACTTCTGGAGATGGAAGTCAAAGAACAGGGTACCAACATGTCAGGTACTTGATGAAGATGGGCTTACTGGCTGACAGATGGCTGCCTTCTAGGCTTCCAGGGTGAGAGAAAGAGAGCTGGGGAGGGAGAGAGGAGGCTGAAATGGAAGGCGGGAGACAGAAGAAGGGAGAGGAAGGGAGAGAGTGAATGGGAGGGAGAGAGTGGAGGGGGGAAAGAGGGGGGGCTCCCGAGAGCTCCACCCCAGGACTAAATGACCTCCTAGAGGGGTCCGCTCCAAATTCCAGCACCCTGGGGGTAGAGTTCAGCATATGAATGAGAGGCACCTCCAGTTCCTAGCAGGTGGTAAAAGCTGAAATTTGAGGAATTCCAATCTGTTGGCTTTGTTTTCTCAGAGCAGCAAGAATTGAAGTTACTTGACCGGAATGAGGAGTTAAATTTGGCACAGTGGGCCTCTAAAAGAAAAGAAAAGACAAGAAAAGGTTTGAGCTAGTCTTCCCGGTACTTATAAACAGAGGCTGCCAGAAATCCATAAGGAGCTGCTTGCTAAGAAAAGCCAGGGCTGGTGTTTCTAGGTCTTCCCTCTATCTTGGTGTCCAGTACAGCGTCAGGCAGGGCGCTCCCGAAATGTGAAACCTGAGCTGAAGCTCTTCACAGCATTATTTCCAACTAAACACCATGACCCTATGACAAAGTATTTTGCTCTAAGAAAGACAATGTCTAGAGGATGAGAAGAAAAGCCACAGACTGGGGCAACTTATTTTCAAAAGGCACATCTGATAAAGAACGGCTATCCTAAATATACAAAGAACTCTTAAAATTCAACAAGAAAAAGAACAACCTGATTTTAAAAAGTGGGTCAAAGACTTAAAAGGACATCTCACCAAAGATAGTACACAGATCACAAATAAGCATGTGAAAAGATGCTTGACATCATATGTCATCAGGGAAATGCAAATTAAAAGGAGATAGCAAGATACACCTATTCGAATGGCCACTTATAGGATAAGTGGATTCTGTTTATTTAGAATAGATACAGAATCCATATAGACGGAATCCACATATAACACCAAATGCTCATGAGGAACTGGAACTCTCACTCATTGCTGGTGGGAAAGCAAATAGTACAGGTATTCTAGAAGACACTTTGGCAGTTTCTCAAAACTATACATACTCTCACCATAATAGCTAGCAATCATATTCCTTGGTATTTCCCCAAAGGCCTTGAAAACACATGTCCAGGCCCTCCGTGGTGGTACAACGGGTTAGGATGCAGCACTGCAAGCTGGCCACAGCCTCTTTAGTGCAAGTTCGATTTCTGGCACTGGAAGTGACCCACATGGCACAGCAGACCTCTCTTGACCCGGCCTGCTGCTCCCCTCAGCAGTCTGCCCCCCACTCTGACTCTGGTGAATTCTCTCACTGCCCCTGCACTTCTGGCTTGTGCCTCAGTTCTGCATGAATAAATAAATATACCTTAAAAAAAAAAAAAAGAAAACTCATGTCCATACAAAAACCTACACATGGATGTTTCTAGCAGTTATTTTTGGTTGCTTCCAAAAGTTGGAAGCAACCAAAATGTCCTTTGGTAGATGAAAGGATCACCAATGTTAAGTCCAGACATTGGAATATTATTCAGCCCTGAAAGTAAATGAACTATCAAGCCATGAAGACATGGAGGAAACATAAGTCCACATTACTAAGTGAAAGAAGCTGTTCTGAACCACTACATACTGTAGCATTTCAACTATCTGACTTTCTGGAAAAGGCAAAACTCTGTGTCTATAGAAACAGTAAAAAGATGAGTGGTTGCCAGGGGCTAGGGGGAGGAAGGTGTGAGTAGGTGAACAGAGATGACTTTCAGGGCAGTGAAAATATTCGTTTTGATACTTTAACAGTAGATATTGTCATCATGCTCTTCAAATCCAGTGACACAGGGAGTGTGACCCCTCATGTAAATGATGACCTTCGGGTGATAATCCTTCTCTGCTGGGGAGTGCTGCTAACAGGTAAGGCCTCGCATCTGTGGGGACAGGGGTGTGTGGGTAGGCTACACTTTCTGCTCAGAATTGCAGGTACCTAAAACTGCTCTAATTAAAATAGATTCAATTCAAAATAACAATTGCATAGTTATCTTTAGGCATACTGGCCATGCTGAGATTAGAAGCAAAGTTATGATAAAGATTAGTTGAAACCTTGCCATTTGTAACAAACTGCTCCCTTATAAAGAAACTCTGAACTTTGAATTTGTGAGCATTGATCACGTTGAATGGTAATGCAGTGAAAAAATACTGCTCACTCTTCTCCCCAAATGTAGAGCAGTTAACAGGTAAGAAGTCACTACAGTTTTGTCTTCATTCATTTCCAAGAGACAGGAGCAATTCTTGAATTGTCTTTGAAAATATTTGGTCTACATGATTCATTGTAGCCAGTCAACATTTTTGCTCTTTCTTGGAATCAGATCTTGGCATAAGATGGGCCAATGAGCCCAAGGCTCAGCCCCAATATCCTCCACCACTAACTTTCTAATGGGGTGCCAGCTGGGGAGGGCCCCTGCAGCTCCCCTGCTCGCTGCTTCCCCCACTTTCTTCCCTACTCCCCCTGCTCCTCAAGGCTCACTTGCAGTTTCCACCCTGCTCCCCTGGCTCCTCACAGCTGCCAGTTTCCGCCACTGCCCAGGCTGCCTGCTCCCAACTGCTCCCCACAGCCCCCCCTGGTCCCCATCACTCCTCTGCTCATTACTTGCTCCCCCTTCTCTCTTCCTGCTCCCCTTGGCTCACACTGCTCTCCCTGCTCCCTGCTGGTTCTGACTGCTCCTCTGGCTCCCCCCAGGTCTTCATGGTTCCCCCCATTTTCCTCCTTGCCCCTCACTGATCCCCTTGCTACTCACTACCCCCCTGATTTTCAGTGCCTAAGCTCTGTTCACCCCCTTGCTCTCTGAGTCACTTTGATGAGGTTTGGGGTTCAGAAAGCGGGGTCCTTGGACTACCTCTGAGAGAAGCTTCTGCAGAGCTCCTCTTTAGCTTGGAGCTTAGTCAGAAGAAGAGCACGTTTGCACAAGCAAGCATGGGCAGACGAAAGTTACATTTTAACAGGACGGTTTATTGGGAAAAGTAGAAAGAAAAACAGAGGCACCGGCATAGTCACGGGTGGGCAAGAGGGCGGCGTTTTGCCAGTGCAGAAATTGTACTGCTGTGGTGCTCTCTCCTGGAGAGGAGTTGCTCCTCTGTGGAATTGTTGCTATTGTCTCATCATTTTGGGGACATGACGCCTTATCTGTGTGACTGAGGACTTTCCAGTGGCTCTCCATCTCCCCATCTCTGGTCAGAGCCACCAGTTGGCACCTAAGGATTTTTCACTTCTATAGCTGATTAAACAACTACGTTAATCCTTTCTACCCCCACCTCGGGCCTCTGGTTTCGTGAGGCCGCCATACCAAATTTTCTACTCTCGGCCTCTACTGCTCCCCGAGCTCCTCACTGCTCTCCCCCACCTTCCTCACTGCTCCCCACTGCTCTCCTGCCCCTCCTCACAGACCCCTTACTTCCCATTTCCCCCTGCTCCCCTGTTCTATTCTGCTCCCCACTGCTCCAAGCTGTTCCCTGTTCTCCAGCTCCATGCTGCCCCCTAGGGCCCAAACCCTCTCTTTGCATGCCCCTAAGAAGAAATGAGTGTGGCTCAGCCCAGGCTGAGGCTCTAACCGGAAGCCACATCTGTCCCCTCCTTTCACAGAATGAACTCCTGAAGGGTGCCTCAAAGCTTTTTCAGCTGGGAAGAGACTCCTGATGCCACCCTCTGGGAACATGAATAACCGAAGTCAACCTTTGATTGGAGTCAAAGGGGAAACATACTGGGATCTGCTGAAGATTTATCCTTTTAATGACTTCCCTGATAACCAGCTGACAAGTGTCTGAAATCAGCACAGCGAGACCACATCCGTTTTAGGTCTTGGTCAGGCACTCAACTGTCTGCCAAAGTCCTACCGCCTCTGCTTGCCCACAGTTCTACAGTGATCCCAAAGACATAAAAATGGTTTCCTTTTCACCTGATTATTTAAAAAAATATTTATTTGTGCATAGAAGAACTGGGGTGTAGGCCAGAGGTGCAAGGGGTGAGAAGATTCACCAGAGTCAGAGTGGGGAGAAGAACAGGCAGATTGAAACACTGCTGAGGGGAGCAGGCGAGGAGGGGAGCGGGCGAGACAGAGGTCTGCTGGGTCATGTGGATTAGCTCCCTGGCTGGGGATCGAACTTAGGCTGCGGTGGCACTGGGGCTTAACCCCAGGGAGGCCCACACCTGATTATTTTTAAACTTTTATTTATAAAATTGTATTTTAGTAATGTTGGTTCAAAACATTATAAAAGTTTCAGTTGGACCTTTATATCATTATCATGATTTATAGCATTACCATTCAACATCCATATCAGTACATTAGGGTTGCCACCAGGAATCTAACTTCTTCCGTCTTGTTAAGATTGTGATCCTCTTTACCTGATTTCCCCAAATATTTACTAAATGCCTTGCATGAGGCAATGATGGGTGAGGACTGTGAAGCAGGGCTGGCCTCTCCCTTCTAGTATTTTTAAAAAGATGCAGGAGGGGAGAGAATTAACCAGACACAGAGTAGAGAGGAAAAAAACAGGTAGGTGTACTGAAAAACACTCCTGAGCAGCGGGTGGGTCAGGAGAGGTCTGCTGTGGGTCAGCTCCCTGGCCGGGGATTGAACTCGTGCTGCAGTGGCTGTGGTGTGTTAGCCTGTTGCGCCACCAGGGAGGGATCCCTTCTGGAATTTGTTATTGAAGAAGTGCACAGGAGTGTGAGATATGGAGCAGAGTCGGGGTAGCTGATAGAGATTGGAAAGTGACTTTCCTTTAACATGTCTCATCTGATACAAGACGCACATTTTGGAGGCTGGGTTCAGGAAGGGTAGAAAGCAAGGAGTAGAGACCACTAGAGGGCGACATTCCAACAGCAGCAGTGCAATGAAATCCCGTGGAGTCGCCCACAAGCCAGAGCGCAAGTTTGCTGCCTTTGTAGTCTTTCTGCCACCATCATCACCCTTCTCATCACCTTTCATTACAGAGTATTTTCTTCTTGAAAGCTACTACCTACATACTGTGTCCCTACATACTATGCTCCCCTCGGGCTCAAAGCCCGCTGCCTCCAGAATTCTTATCCTGATCTCTATCCTTTGGTGAAGCCACGGGAGTAGTATGATCCCAAAGCTACAGCAAAAAAGGGTAAAATTCAGCATAGGAACTTATCTTAGTACTCTCAGGGCCCAGTGGCAAGTTTCCCTCTGCCCCCAGGACCTCCCCAAGACTCCCATTCTATGCTGGGTACCTCTGGTTCCCAATGCTCCTCATTCCTGAGACGCTGCCTCTGGTCAGTTCCCAGAGGCACAGGACCCACCTTTCAGCTATTATTATCTTCTTTTCTTATTGTTCCTTTAAAAATATCCACCTTGGGCCCTCCCTCGAGGCCCAGCGAGTTAAAGCACAGCACTAAGAAACTTAAGCGGATTCTGCATGAGTTCCATCCTGGCCTGCCCCGGGGGAGATCCACATGGGGAGGCAGACCTCTCCTGACCCGCCTGCTGCTCCCCTCAGCAGTGTACTTCGTCGATCTGCCTGTTCTGCTCCCCACTCTGTCTCTGGTGAATCCTTTCACCCTCCGCATCTCTGGCCTGTATCCCAGTTCTGTATGAATAAACAAATAAATCTTTAAAAAAATATATCCACCCTTGGGGCCTCCCTGGTGGTCTAGTAGTTATGTCTCAAGACTATATCACTGGAAAGGACCATTTGGATGGGCTGAGTTCGATCCCCCCACCAGAGAACTGACCCACAAGGTGCATCAGACCCCTCCACTCCCCTCCCACTGCTCCCCTCAGCAGTGTTATCTCAGTAGATCTGCCTGTTCCGTTCCGCATTCTGTCTCTGGTGAATCCTCTCGCTCCCTGCAACTCTAGCCTGAACCTCAGTTCTTCTACACAAAAATAAATAAATCTTTTAAAACAAAACAAATAAAAATAAAAAATGCCCCCTTCTGATGGAGAATAAGAATAGAAACGCTGGAAAGGACGCTACAAGGTTACGAACTCCTCTCATAGAAGGAGATGGGGGTAGAAGGGATTAATATAGATATTAATTCCACTATAAAAACTATAAGACAGCTGCAGGGAGTGTCAAGAGCACAGACTTGAAGGTGAAGCTGTGGGGATTAAGGAACACATGATCCACTCACGAAGGTGAGCCCCTTCCTACTGGAAGAAGATGATAAACCCAGCACTGTCCCCGCTGAGGGGCCGCAGTCCTGCCCACCTGTGCCTATGCAGGTGCTTCTCCCCACACTCTCTCCCTCCCTCCTGCCTGCCCAGTGACCTGCGCCATGCTGGGACTTCTCTGCACTGACTGACTCCCTCAGCAGAGGCCGCTCTCCTAAGGCCGCCTGCCTGCAACCATGCAGGCCCCTCTCAGCGGACCTGGCCCTCTAGAGGCAGCCCTTCCTGCTTGCTGTGTCTATGCAAGTGTCCAATAGTCCTGCGTCCTTTTCCCTAGTTAACCTGCTCTTTAAATATATCTAGTGTCTCTGTCATGGAGAAACTCTCCTGGGGAACTCGCTGTGTGCCACTGATAGGGGAGCTCTGGTGAAACCTTTCCCAGAGTGAACCCAAGGACCCCACTGTCCAAACTCATCTCCAAAAACATTTCTGCAAAGGTTACCATTTATTTTGGAGTGTGGGTGATTTTACTATAAATGATTAATAAATGTTACATAATTTAAAAAGTGTTAGAAATTTTGAACCCTCCCTGGCGGCCCATAGGGTTAAAGCACAGCACTGTGAAGCTCTCCACAGCCACTGCAGCATGAGTTCGATCCCTGGCCAGGGAGTTGACCCACATGGTCTGTCAGACTTCACCTGACCCACCCACTGCTCCCCTCAGCAGTTTATTTCAGTCAATCTGCCTGTTCTCCTCCCCGCTCTGTCTCCGGTGAATCTTCTCACCTCCGCACCTCTGGCCTGTGCCCTAGTTCTTGTGTGCATAAATAATCAAATCTTTAAAAAAAAAAGTCAAAAGTGTTAGAAATGTTAAATATGTAGTATTGACACTGATCAAATTTGTGGTGGATTAATGAGTAGCACCCCCTCCACACATATACACAAGGGGTGTACATGGAAAAAGGCAGAGGTTGGCTAACTTACAATTTTGCTTACTTAAAACATTAAAAATAAACTATCAGGCCCTCCCTGGTGGCGCAGCGGGTTAAAGCACTGCACTAAGAAGCTAAAGCCGCTTCCGCATGAGTTCGATTCCCGCCTTCCCCGGAGGTGACCACATGGCGCGGCAGACCTCTCCTGACCCGCCCGCTGCTCCCCTCAGCAGTGTACTTCATCCATCTGCCTGTTCTGCTCCCCACTCTGTCTCTGGTGAAGCCTCTCGCCACCCCTGAGCCTCTGGCCTGTACCCCAGTTCTGAATGTACAAATAAATAAATCTTAAAAAAAAATAAACTATCAAAGCTTCAACCTCTATTCTTGCCATCATTAAGAAAGAAAATTGTTTCTTTTTGTTGTTGTTTAAAAAAATGGGCCCTCTCTGGTGATGCAATGGGTTAGGGTACAGCATTGCAAGCTGGCCACAGCTGCTTCAGTGGGAGTTCGATCCCCGGCCCCGGAGGTGACCCACATGTTGCAACAGACGTCTCCTGTCTCACTCACTGCTCCCCTCAGCAGTGTACTTCCTCGATCTGCCTGTTCTTCTCCCCACTCTGCCTCTCACCACCCCCGCACCTCTGGCCTGTATTCCCCAGCTCTGTATGCATAAATAAATAAATCTTTAAAATAATGGTAGGGGCCCTCCCTGGTGGCGCAGCGGGTTAAAGCACAGCACTGAGAATCTGAAGCCACTTCCGCATGAGTTCGATTCCCGCCTGCCGCCTGCCCCGGAGGAGACCACATGGCGAGCCAGACCTCTCCTGACCCACCCGCTGCTCCCCTCAGCAGTGTACTTCGTCGATCTGCCTGTTCTGCTCCCCACTCTGTCTCTGGTGAAGCCTCTCACCGCCCCTGAGCCTCTGGCCTGTACCCCAGTTCTGTATGAATAAATAAATAAATCTTTAAAAAAAAAAATAATGGTAGGAAGGATTAATCTCAGAACATAGCCCTTCCCTATATCCATGTTTTTGGACAATGTGATGTTACACCAAGAGAAGACTGTTTCTTTACCATGTAAGTCTAAGTTGGATTTAGGACTTGCTTTGGCCCAGAGGACAGCAGTAAACGTGACGTAAGCAGAGGCTTCAGATATGCTTACATACGCACATGTATCATCCAGCTCCAGACGCTTTAGCCCGAGGCCAGGCAGATAATTTGGGTTATTTCCATGATCTACCACAAAAATTTTGACCCCTACCCATTAAATACTTAAATATTTAGAGACTTTTGGTTGTTACAGCGATTGTGAATTTTATGTGTTTCCACAAAGTGTGTAGATATTAAGCCTATAATTTAAGCTATCATTGCCTGTGCTTCGCATCATCAGATCTTCAGGGAAGCTTTGGTGCTAGCTTATCTCCTAGAGGTACATTCAGATCCCAAGAAACCATGAACCACTCAGAAACTTCTTCAGAAAACAAAGACCTTTACTTCTGTGTCAAATCATTTAAGGTTATTCACATGGGCCAAGGCTTCCTGTAACTTCGCCTCCAGGCTCCCTGTTGTGCTGGCCTGGATTTCATGGACTCTGCATTCAGTGCCACTGTGATCAGGAATCACTCATATTTCAAGGTACACTGAAGTGAAGTGAATTGCCTTCGTGACTCAGTTAGGTATGGTACACATCATTTTGAGAATTGTGTATTAGAACGTCAATAATTTTCAGGAGCTTGGTTTGAAGGAGGAAATTCGGGGTGGGAGAATTAAAGAAGCAAATGGCAGCCTAATCCACTCACCCCATCTGCTGTGCTCTCCCACCGCACCTCCAGCCTGGCCAGGCATGCGGGAACCCTGGCTAGGCTCCAGGCAGCCTGTCAGAGAACATAAGAAAATGACATGATTATCTCAACAG